AAAAAACTGAATGCGTCTGAATCGAATTGAATGGCAGGCGAAAATTGAAAAAGACCCAAAGCTAACTAGAATCTTTTATTCCTTGCGTCGGAATGTTTAAAGATCCGCACGACGGCATCAGGTCCGTTCCCGGCGTGCGCGTCTCGTCGCTTCCATTGTGCGCGAACCTCTTGAATGGGCCCGATCCCGGCCAGACATCGCGGCGACAACAACGCCCAAGAAAGCCCCACAGCCCGAAGAAGAAGTAGGAAGCGTGCAAGAGGGAAACTTCCGAGACGACGCGCGTCAAACACAATAAACTTTAAACGTTTTTTATGCACAACCAGCAACCAGCTCAACTTGAATGCAACTTCCGAAGAATCAAAAGTTGGTAAAAAAAATATCCAGGGCAACGAACTAACCTTTTGCTAACTTTAAATAATTTCATCTATAAATTATTCACCCTAGGTCGGTATTGATCTATCGAAGGTTGAACGAAGGTGTGCAAAGGTTTGATCCTTCGTGATCTACATAAATGTTCTCACAATGTGCCGTCACTGGAAGCAATTTGTTGATGAATGGTCCAAAATCTTATTCTCAGGCTTCCTTGTTCCGCATTTCAAATGAATGGACCAAGTGGAACGCGAAATCGAAAAATTTACATTTTGTGACCTAACGGTTTTTCTGAATCAATTTGGTACTGCCAGATCAAATATTGAAAGTCAATATTTGCAAACACACCGAAAACCAGCAAATATTAAGCTTCCTGTGTTTTTTTTTCTTCAAACCCAGCAAGTCTATACATCTATCAATTGTACTTCCCATAATGCAAGCCATCAGTTTGTTTAACATTGACAAATGTTTTCAATTCCACCCAAAATCAACAAATATTTCTACCTAAAAGAAATACATCTTAGACCTACCTTTTTTTGTATTTAATTTTTCTGTGGGAGCTAACTGCGTGTCTGTTGTTGTGATTCCCACCACTGCATAACCTGCACCATATTCTCCTTGGAATCCTCTTCCTCCTGCTGCGGTTCAGATTTGATTTCCATAATCATCTCCGGTGTGATTCTCAATTTGATATCTTCATTAGTGGAATTAAACACTGGTATAAACATTTGATTATTCGTCGATCGACATCTATTGATTGCAATTGGACTCAACGAATCATCACTGTACAATTCCGGTGACAATGACCCAGTGGTAGTATGCATGGAATTCAACAAATCCAAATCTCCATCAATCAATTGATCAGCTGATAGAATATTATCTTCCAAGTCGAGATTATCATTATCGTAGAAGTTATCTAAAGGAAGTGGATAGATTTTCGAGGTGCTATTGTAATTAATCACAGTCATATCATCGTCTTCATCCAGAGGACACATTATGGGATAGGTGTATGTGTTTGTATTAGTTGGAAGTGTATTATTTGTGGTATTAATTGGAGATGATGAAGGAGTGGATGCAGAGGATAAAGAATTGTAACTGTTAGAAATTGATGAAGACAAAGATGAAGAAATATTCTGTGATATTTCTGTGAATGATTGATCTCCATTCAGGATATCTTCAAGGGTTCTGATGTATTCAACAGCCATACGAAGTGTTTCAACTTTCGACAGTTTTTTACTCCCGCCACGTCCTGTTGAGGATTCAAACGCTGATGCAATGGAATTCGGTATGTGTTGTCTCAAAGTGGCGAATCCATTGTTTACTTGTTTAACCCGATTGCGTTCCCGGGCATTCCTCCGAGCAACTGCCACCGGTGCTGGATTTGTTAATTTCGGACTACCATTTTCACTACTTGTAGGTTTAGACTTCTTCCTCGCTGGGTTTGTTAGCAGGATATCCTTTGGGTTCAACGTGCTGACCGGTGATTGTTTTTTAACTGATTGTAGGTTTATTTGAACATTCTGAGTGGTATTCTGTTGCAGAATATTAACTTTCTGTGGAGACAATGTTTTATGGTATTGCACCACACTGGCTGTAGACATTGTCTCACAGAGATCTATTAAAAGTTTAATTAAAGTTAATTGAACTTCAACTTCAACTTGACACTGCTCACAATTAATTAAATATAGTCCAGAGTTTATGTTGGTAATATTCCAGGCTTGGTACCGTTAGTTGTCACGTGTTACTGTGTGTAGTGTGTCGTGTGTGGAGGAAATGTGAAAACGAACTACCAATTTCGAAAAGGACTTTTGGCATATGTGAACATTTTATTCCGGTGCTGGCACGAGACCAGTACAAATAAAACCCCTCCCATCCAGAGGGGGTAGATTATTTCCTTTCTTTTACCTACACATACGTGTCGTGTACTACATCATATGGGTTTTATAGTGGATCTCTTTCTATTGAAGGTTTGGATAAAAGCAAAAATAATGCGTTCTCTTTCTTCATGCTGGTTGACGGTGAGTAGGCCGTGGTTGTGTTGGTTAGAAGTGTGCCTGTATGCACAGCTGCCGTTAGTCCCGCTAGTAGCACTAAAGCCCTTCGAACCCCCTTTGCGCTTTAAATATAGGGATTTTGGAAATTACCTACACATATTTACAAAAAAAAGAAGGTCGTATGTGTACGAGTATATACTCGTATGGTATGTGCATATTATTTATTATCAAGCGCGATTTTGGGTAGTTTTAAATTTGTTTGAGTTTGATTAAGCAAAATTTTATTTTAATGTAAAAACTTTTAAATTTTACTTCTTCAAAAATATTTACTTTATAGAAAGTTTTTTTCTTTTTTAATTTTTTAAAATTTTATTTTAGTTTTTACCTGCGTGTTGGATTTAATCGAAAATTGTTACCAACAAGTAAGGCACTTATTCCTCCCTATTGTGTAATTGTAATCTTGTCTCACCCCTTTTGGGGATAAAGCTGTGGTTTATGTGCTCTGTGACAGTGCGTCTGAATTTTACGACGTTTCAAACTTTATAGTTTAATTGTATATGTATTATGTTACGTAATTTTTTGACGCACTCCTGAAGAAGCAGGCGGGCGCACTTTTAGGCGTTGAAACCCTTTAAACTAAACCCCTTGAAACAATTTTATTACTTTTTATTTAATGTTACATTGAAATAGTTTGACTCACTTGTATAGTAAATAATATTCAAGAAAAGTCAAGTAGGGTCAATAATATATAACTTTTAGGGTTGGTTTATGAAAATTACACGCAAAATTTAACAAATTTGTGTAAATTGGACGTTTAGCATGCCAAATAGGCTAAAATATCAAAAATTAAACGCATCAACACCGCATGAAATGAAACATTAAAAGTGAACACCGACGTATTGCAAGCGTCTCAAACTGTTGCTCTTAATTTGATTAGTTGTGCTTTCGTGGGTGTTTTAAGCTTTAAGCTGGGCGGCAGAGATAAAGAGTTTTTGGCATAATTTAAATTTTATGCGGTGGAGGTGCCACCCAGGCACAATCTGCCACACTTTAAACATATGTCAAACGCGCGCGAAATTTAATACATATTTACAATTTTAACCACGCATAAAAGTGCTATGCAACAATTAACATCATGCGATTTTTCATAAATAAAACATACGTACAATGATGGACATTTTATTGAGTTTCCAATGAATGACTGAATCTAGCGTATAATTATTTCTTTACATTAGATTTTTTGTTGTAAAAATATGTTTAAGAAAGCAGCAGTTCTTGTTCTAACAACACATGGGGATGGTAAGTAGGCGAGGTGGAGCAACATGTGGCACACTCTCGCAGGCTTTCCGTATCTCAATATTCTATTTTTATAGAGCTTATATGCCACTGAATGTCGATGGATGCACTCTGATGCACTTCGCGGTGCACCATATTGGATGCAACGCGCAACATTTGGCAAACACACGGGGTGCGCACCCACGAGACAGGATATTCCACCTTTAAGTGAAAGACATTTCTAAAAATAAAAACACATTTCTATTTCACATACGAGTAAATAAAGAACAAGTGTCAAAAATAAGAATTTGGGTTTAAACTTTTAAATTTTAGATTTTAGATGTTTAATTAGCTCTAAATAATTGCGTTGTATTAAATTCCATTGTGTTTCCCTATCTATACCTCCTTTCTACCTATCAAATCAGAATAAAAGATCAAAAACTGATCCGAGCATAGAAATGCGCTTGATTATTGTGCGATTGTTGTGCAAATCCAAAGCGGCATGGTCGTTTTAGTCGCGTGGCACGAGCGTGAAGCGTGTGGCGGGCAGACAGAAATGCATTTTCGAACAATCACCGCTCCGATGTTGGCTACGCTCCCTTCTAAAACCAAATTTTGCAGGTTTAATAACCATGTGTTAGAATGGGATAAAAGTTTGTTATGTGGGGGATGCACTGAACATCTGGCATGTATTATCAAGGGGAACGATTGGCATGAAAACCTCATGGGCTTCAATAACGTACATAATGTTGATAATAATAATTTTTAGGTTTTTCTTTTAAAACAATTCACTATAAACATTTTCAGAAAACTAATGTAAAAATTAAATGTATCAGAGTTGAATTAATGTGCAAAAAAAAACCGTTGGGATAAAAAATAGGTGCCTAAGAAATTTATTAGCCAAAAACACCTCAAGACGGAAGCATCTTAATAGGATTGAGCGAATTATACCTGCGCGATTTTTTTTTATACAGTTTATAATGTATTAAAACGCATTTAAAAGGTGTTTGTTCCCCGTATCCTGTTCCAAACTTTTAGAATTTAATCAAACACAAAAAATAAAAGGCGGATATTTCTTAATATAAGAAAACCTCTACAATAACATTTATTAATTCTCACAAAAATATATTTTGGGATGATCCTAAATAAATTTGATTTCAAAATGAATTTCCTGTGCTGTGAGAAAAATTATATACAATTTCTGACAGCACCGTGTTGCTGTGTCTTTATTTCTCGATTCGCATGAGAGATATTTCCAGTACTTACTTATTCAACAATACAATATGCTTGTAATTTAATAGTAAGTTTAATGACGTGGAACATTATTGAAAATTCTCTTCGTCTCCCCCAAAAACCAGCCATTAATGACTAAATTTACACCAATGACTAATATTTCAATATTTTGCGTTGGTCATAAATTAAATTTTGACCGCATCATGCTGCCTACATTTGCATTTGAGTACTCACTTTCAAGTTTTAATGCGCGGCATCGAACACTTTCTTCGATTTGAATATTCATGAAGCGAAACGTATGCGCCGCCAATATGTTTAAAACATGTGTGCTATTATGAAGTCGTCGATAATAAAAAGGCGCTCTTCGATAAAATGGTTGAAATAAGCGCTCGTAAAACGTGTCGTTAATAAACACATTAAAAGGGAAATCATTGGATGACATTATATTTTTATCAGCGGAAAAATTACTTTGTAATAAAAGTGCGTTTATTTTCTCAGTCGGCATCACATAACTCGTCTTGGATGATGACTCGATGAAAAGAGCAACATATCTGCATGTCGGTACGAAATGTGTTGAGACAACACCCGCTGTGTTGGAGATAACCATCTTAAAATCAGCTTTTTTACACATTTGAGAAACGAATTTATTTTTGGATTGAAAATTATTTTATACTTAACTAGCTGTTGCCCGCGACTTTGTTCCGGCAGTGTTTAATAAAAATGTAATTCGTTTTTACTCTCTTGTTCTAGACATACTCGTAGTAAGAGTCAATTCTATCAATAAGATTAGCAATTTTAATTTAAAGAAATTATGCATATAAACTTTTGTCAATAATGCACTTCAGCGCGCCATCTCGAATTCAACTATTTAACTATAACTATGATGGAATCTCAATGTCAAATTTTATTCTATAGAAAAGAGCTGTTTTGAGGATTTTCCCGGCAATTATTCGAATTTTTCTCACCTTTTAAACCTTCCCTAGACCTCCACGAATAATTCATGACCAAGATAAGATAAATCCGTTCAGCCGTTTACGAGTTTTAGCGAGACTAACGAACAGCAATTCATTTATATATATATATATATATAGATTAATAGATTAATACAGAGAATCAAAATTTTGTTTTAGTTTTGATTTTAGAGTTGAATTCTTCATTTCTATTGACAACAGGAAGCGTTTACTTAAGTTTGTCCACCCTAAACTCTAAACCGAGTTTTGTTGTTTTGTGTGCTAACGTGTTTCCTCCTGGTTGTGCTATTTGCTTACTTAAAAGCACCGACTCTACACCGGCGTCGTCATTTACTATACCTTGACGCATCTACTACTCTTAACTACTACTTGGACTATTTTCAAACATCGGCTTCTTTATCCTAAGTTAATAAAACAAAACCCAGCACGGACGCTGATTTATACTGTCACGTATTAAATTACAAAAAGAAAAGAAGACAAAAACCAAACAAAAAATACTTCAAATTTAAATTTAATGTTAATAGCAATAAAAATGGCAGTGAAGTGTAATTTGAGTTTTTGAAATACATACTTGAAGTAAGCAAATATACTACTGAAGAAGTCAGTATGGAAATCCACGTAGATATCTTGATAACGTTGTCTTGCAATCGTTTAATCGATATGCGATACTTGCGTTGAGAACTGACACTCCAACGGGGAATCTACGCCTTGAATCTTGATAGCTCCTGACAAGTCTTTGATGACGTTTATCGTTTCCATTACGTTTCATTACGAACAAGTGCTTTAAACGCAAAAAATGCAGCATTCGTAATATATTTTAAATAAAATTTTTGTAAAAAATTTTAACATTTTTTTTCTCGCTGCTGGAAATATTTTTAAAATTATTTTTTTCTTTGTATTTTTTGTTTTATTTCTCTAATTTGCTTTGAATTTTTCCTACGCACAGTTTGCATTCTTGGCGCTTCATTTATGCCACTTTTTTTGTCTTGGGCCGGTAATGGTCAATTAGGCAAAACAAATATAATCTTTTAAGAAAAACCCCAATGTAATTTGTGAACCCCTATGGTGTCAAAACGATCGCTGAATCGACGGGGCTACTTCACTAATTACCATGGACTGTTGAATGCCGCACAAAGAAATAATCAGTTTACCAATATAAACCAAAACAAAAGAGACGTATATACTTTAACATCATTAATTAACCAAAAAATTATTCTACCTATGTATATATTTTTTCACCCCATGTTTTGACTATTCCGAAATTCATTTAATTTATAAGTTCAGCGCTCGGCTCACATCATGCGGCATTGTATTAATTAGTTTTAAAAAAC